TGGGTCACTCACTCATACACTCATTCACACTCTCTCTCACTCACTCTGTCACTCCCTCCCTCACACACTCACCAACAGCATCTCCCCTCCTGACTGATGAAGGACCATGCCCCTGTCTGACCATTGTGCTCCTTTGATTGTTCAGAGCTGCGCTCTGCCTGCCCTAAAACACCAAAGCAAGGCACAGACAATATGAGAATCCAAATGGTGAGAGAGGTCTCAGGAAGTGGGTTAGGAGCTCTGCGATGCACTCTGTTCTGAGGTATGAAGACGGGTGCCAGTCCCTGCCCACAAGGCAGCCTGGCAACGTTTTGCCAAGCTCCTAAAATGCAGTGGACTCTTTGAAAGATGAGTGTCAATTGTGTCCTGGGACTGCAGTGAGGCTTTACTGAGTCTGACCTCGGTGTATAGAGGTCACTGCCGAGGCAGCAAACCCTGAGGCATTGGGCTCCATTTGCCAAGATGGATGCCCAGAGAAGGTGCCGCCTTGGGATTCCCAGTCTCAGGATTTCAAGATCACATGGTCGACAGCAATGACAATCTCCTTTGCAAAGAAATGATGGGTCAGGATGAACGAACTGGCTTCATTTTCGAAAGCTGCTGTGTTTTATTTTTTAAACTGTGGGGGAACTGGTCTGTATTGTGGGTCAACCTACAGCACATGGACTGCAGCAGTTCAAGAAGGCAGCTCACCTCCCCCCCACCACCTTCTCAAGGGGCAACTAGGGATGGGGCAATAAATACTGGGCCCAGCCAGCCACGCCCACATCCCACAAATGAATAAATGGGAGTTTTCGAAGTATTTGCTCGGAACTGTGGTCCTCTTGTTTCACTCAGCTGCCCGGGAAACGGGCAGACAAATGAGAAGGGGAGGCGATGAGGTACCGATGGGATGTTAATGGATGAATATAGACCCTTCACTGTCCACTGGTGTGATTCCGTCCAACCCTGGCCAGAAAATCAGATGTTTTCTCCTCGATGTCAGGAATCTTGTCGCTCTGCTCTTGTTATGTTTTTACCGAAGGGACAGCCCTGTTGTTCAGGGGAGGGGACAATTCAGACGCCCACATCACCAGCTGTTGTTCCTCATCCACATTTTCCTCCAGCTTCCCTCCTCTTCCTCTCGCCCATTCCACTCCCTGCCCCCATCCCCACCCCTCATGTGTTTATTTGTAATGGGATGGGCCGAAGGACTAAACTTGTGGGTGATACTCAACAAGCTGCACCGTCCTGTGAACATTCCTGTACGTGCCGACGCCGGCACAATCAAGGTGTTTTTCTGGTGTTGTGTTTCTGCAACTTGCCATTTGGTACACGTACAAGAGAGAGAGTTTCGTTCCGAGTCGCTGGACGTCACCTTGGACCGGGATCGCAAAACGGGGACAGGAACAATCTTGGCCTCCAGGCCAGCCGTCAATTGAGGGGACCCCGATGAGCAGAAGGGAGTGAGGCTTACTGGTTTTTTTTCCTCTCTTTTTCATTTACTTACTTTCACTTTTTTATTTACTTAATAAACACACCTTTCTTTTCTTGTCACTCAATAAATGTTTACATTTACGGGAATTGCTGTTGTCAAGCCTTCTCTTAGCTACCTTTAACCGAATCGGAAAAAAAACCCCCACCTGAATGCACTCTATGATCTAAGACATTATTCAACATCTCCCCTCGCTTACACATATTGACACCGTTCTCCTTGACCCCCCTCCCTGTGGGTGCCAGTCCCATATTCTACCCACTTTCTGGGGGCAGATGATGTTTCTCCTGAATTCCCTGCTGAGTTTATTCGGGACTGACTGACATTGATGGGCCCCGGTTCTGGTCTCCCCACTGCTGCCCCAGCGCCCCCATCCCCAACTCCCACCTCCCATCCCCCAAACAATGGGAAAACCTCTTCTCACAATCAGACTGTATCAAAAACCTCCTTCTTCATTTTGAAGACTCGATCAGAAACCTCACCTGCCTCAGCATTCTCTTTTCCAGAGAGCTGGGCTATTACATAAGACTTTAGTAAGGCCTTTGACAAGGTCCCTCATGGTAGGCTAGTCATGGAAGTTAGGTCGCATGGGATCCACCAGGTGCTAGCGAATTGGATTCAAATTTGGCTCAATGGTGGGAAGCAAGGGGCGATGGTTGAAGATTGTTTCTCGAATTGGAGGCCTGTGACTAGTGCTGTGCCACAGGGATCGGTGCTGGGACCTTTGTTATTTACGTATATGATCTGGATGTGAATGTACAAGGCATGATTAGTAAGCTTGTGGATGATACAAAATTAGGAGATATCGTTGATAGCGAGGAAGGTTAGCAAAAATTACACAGGGATCTTGATCAGATGGAGAAGTGGGTTGAGGATTGGTGAATGCAATTCAATACAGATAAGTGTGAGGTGTTGCATTTTGGAAAGTCAAACCAAGGTAGGACTTGTACAGTAAACGGTAAGGTCCTGAGGAGTGTTGTAGAACAGAGGGATCCAGGAGCATGAGTACAAGTACATAGTTCATTGAAAGCGGCGTCACAGGTAGACAGGGTGATGAAGAAGGCATTTTGCACGCTGGCTTTCGTCGGTCAAGGCACTGAGTATCGGAGTTTGGATGTTATGTTACAGTTGTGTAAGTTGTTGGTGAAGCCACGTTTGTAGTATTGTGTATATGTTCGGTCACCCTAAACTGGAAAGTATGCAAAGAAAATTTATGAGGATGTTGCCAGGACTAGTAGGCCTGAGTTATAGGGAGAGGTTGGCCAGGATAGGACTTCATTCCTTGGAACATAGGAGAATGAGGGGTCACCTTATTATGGTGTGTAAAATCACAAGGGGCATAGATAAGATGAATGCATATAGCCTTTTTCCCAGGGATGGAGAATTGATAACTAGAGGGCATAGGTTTAAGGTGGGAGGGCATAGATTTAAGAAGGACCTGAGGGGCAACTTCTTCACACAGAGAGTGGTGTGTATATGGAATGGGCTGCCAGAGAAAGTGGTTGAGGCAGGAACAATAGCAACAATTAATAACCATTTGGATAGGTACATGGATGGGGAGGGTATAGAGGGATATGGACCAAATGCAGGCAATTGGAACTAGCTGAGTGGGCACCATGGTCAGCACGGACCGGTTTGGGCCTGTTTCCATGCTGTATTACTCTATGACTCTATAACATAAGAAATAGGAGCAGGAGTGGGCCATCTGGCCCATTGAGCCTGCTCCGCCATTCAATAAGATCATGGCTGATCTTTTCACTGTCTCAGTTCCACTTACCCACTCTCTCACCATAACTCTTATTCCCTATCCTGTTCAAAAATCACTGCCTTAAAAACATTCAACAAGGTAGCCTCAACTGCTTCACTGGGTGGGGAGTTCCACAGATTCACAACCCTTTGGGCAAAGAGGATAATAATATTCAGGCATTATTGAAGTAAGGAAAAGCATTGTGGGATCAACTCATCCAGTTTGGTGATTTCAGAGTGGGGATACAGAACTGTGTTCCTCTGACTATTTTTATTCTCAATCCATTCAATACTTGTGTGAGTGAAGGGGAATTTTAAAAGGGCTGATAATAGTCAGCACGGCGATAATGGTGAGGGTGATAATTCAGGAAGTTGTTCATAATGAAACTAATGTTAATAACAATGGTGATAATTAAGATTATTAACAAAGATAATGTTAATAACAACGGTATTAATTGAAGAGGTTATGAACATCATAGTAGTGTTAATAATGGCGAGGGTAATAATTTCTTTCTATTCTTCGTGGGATGAGGGTGTCACTGGCTAGGCCAGCAGTTATTACCCAGAGGGCAGTTAAGAGTCAACCACATTGCTGTGGGTCTGGAGTCACATTGGCAGACCAGGTAAGGATGGCAGTTTCCTTCCCTAAAGGACATGAGTGAACCAGATGGGGTTTTCCCGACAATCAACAATGGATTCATGGTCATCATTAGACTCTTAATTCCAAATTTTTATTGAATCCAAATTCCAACATTTGCCGTGGCAGGATGCAAACCTGGTCCCCAAATAGTTACATGCATTTCTGGATTAACAGTCCAACAATAGTCGCCTCCCCTCAAATAGAGGGTGTTCTTAATAATGATACTAATAATGTTATTAATAATGATGAGGGTACTAATTGAGGTTATTAATGATAATAACAGTGAGGGTGGTAATTGAGGTTATCAATGATAATAATAGTAAGGGTGGTAATTGGTGGTCATTAATGATAATAACAGTGAGGGTCATAATCGAGGTGGCTATTAATGATAATAACAGTGAGGGTGTGAATAGAAAAGGTTATTAATGATAATAATGGTGAGGGTGATAATTGAGAAGGTTATTGTTGATAATAACGGTAAGAGTGATAATTGATGTAATTTTTTTTAATGATACTAATGATGAGATTGATAATTCAGGTAGTTATTAATGATAATAACGGTGAGGGTGATAATTCAGAAGCCTGCTAATGACAATAATGATAATAACATTAATAATAATGGTGATAATTTACGAATTTATTAATAAAGTTGAGAATAATGGTGAGGGTGATAATTGAGAAGGTTATTAATGATTATAATGGTGAGGGTGATAATTGAGGTAGATATTAATGATTATAATGGTGAGGGTGATAATT